TAGGATAAAAATTCAGAATATGTTAGACACTTTCAACTAATAGACAGAAACGTGTCTTGATCCCTGCCATTATTTCATCCTTTCTCTGTGAAATGTTTCTGCTTTGTATCTTATGCTCACTATTCATGTCAAGTTCCTACTATTGCCCCATAATCTCTCATGTCCCAAACTACTTACTTATTAGAAAACCAAATCCAGAAGAGTTCAAAGACATACAGCTAAGCACTGAGCAGGACTTTTCAGAGAAACAAGCCAACAATGATGGATGTTCAATCCCTGATAACTATACAAAGTGTTTAAAATGGGCCAGTTCCCCAAGATTATTAATAGGTTCAGAGTGACGGCATGTTCTACCCTATTTCCTCTCATTCCGGACTGTTTCAGAATGAAACATATGACACATGTATTAAAAGGTTTGTTTTCCATTACTGCCATAACAACTTCACACAACTATGAATGCTTAAACCGACATGGATGTATTATTTTATGGCCGTGCTGGTTATAAATCTTACACAGGCTATACTGGAATAAAACTAGGGTGTCAGCGGGGATGTTTTCCCCCTCCAGGCTCTAGGGAAGAAGGCATGTAAGGACCATCCACATTCTGTGGCTCGCGGCCCCTTTTTCCCTTTTCAGGGTCAACAGCCATGGCCATGACTCTAATGTGCATCCCCCTGACCTCCTTCCTGGGTTCCTTCTTCTCCCTGACTCTCCTCCTCTGTCTCCCTCTTCCATTTGTAAGGATTTTTGATTACATTGGGCTACCCCATAATCCAGGAAAATCTACCCTAGGTCTGTAACTTTATCACATCTTCAAAGCCCCCTTTTGCCACGTAAGGTGACATAGTCACAGGGCCTGGGGATTAAGCTGTGGACACCTTTGGGAGCCATTCTGATGCCACCAAGCTGTTCAGTTCAATTCTTTACATCTTGTCTGAATCATCCAAGTTCTTAGTAAATCTATTATAACAACCACTGGCTTGTGTATGAGTCAACTTCCTTTAAATTAGTTTGCAATAAAGGAACAATTGACTTTATAATGTAATCTTTCTGTTAAATGACAGCTTTAAGATTAGCCCAGGCCTGGGGCACCTCGGTGGCTCAGTCTGTTGAGCATTGGACTTTGGCTCAGGTCATGATCTCATGGCTCATGAGTTCGAGCCCTGCATCAGGTTCTGTGCTGACAGCTTGGAGCCTGGAGCCTGCTTTGGATTCTGTGTCTCCCTCTCTCTCTGGGTAACCCACCCCCCGCACCTGTGCTGTGTCTCTCTCTCAAAAGTAAATAAACATTAAAAAAATTTAGCCCAGGCCTGTGGAAGAGGACAGAAAAAGTCACAGTTCCAAAGGATATGCCTTATATAGAACCTCCACCAACCTGACACCCCAAGAAAAGAGGATATGAATATTTGTTTATTTCCCATGGACAAATCAAGAAATCCAAGCACGTCGATCCACTCTGGAGTGTGATTCACTGGCACGGCTTGCCTCTCACCACAGAAAATGAATTATATAATTATTACAAAGTCCTCACCCTTGATTCTATATGAAATGCATCTGTCCAGGAGTTACATATTTTTAGAAACTAGTTACACTACCTTCATATGTGTCACCTAATTATCTACCTGCTCAGTATTTGTACAAATTGCCTCATATTCGCCAAAGCAAGGGTCAGCAAACCATGGTCTATAGGCCAAACCTAGCCTATAAACTAAGAATGGTTTTTACATTGTTCAGTATTTGAAAAACCATCAAAAAAGAGTAACAACTGTCTTTCTCTGACTTATTATAGAGCATAATACTCTTTAGATCCATCCACATCACTGCAAAAAGATTTCATTAGTTTTCATTACATATATGTGTAATATATATGCGACATCTTTTTTTCTTTATCCATTGGTCAGTCAGAGGACTCTTGGGCTATTTCCATAGTTGGGCTGTTGTAGATAATGCTGCTATAAACATTCCGGTGATTTCATTCATATGTGGAATTTAAGGAAGAAAGAAAGAAACAAACAAACAAAAAACAAGCAAAAGGGGGGAAAAGAGAGGGAGACAAACAAACTCTAGAGAACAAACCGATGGTCACCAGTGGGGAGATGGGTGGGGAGATTAAGGACGCACTTGCTGTGCTGAGCACCAGGTGACACATGGAGGTATTGAATCAGTATATCGTACACCTGACACTCATATTACACTGTATGTTAATTAACTGGAGTTTAAATAAAAACTTGAAAAAAGAAAAAACGTAACATTTTGTTTAGTAGAAAAATTACATGACATGCAAACCTGCATAAGGGAAGTGTTCCTGGAACACAACCATAATAACCATTTTATGGCTGATTTTTCACTACAACAGCAGAGTCGAATGGTTACAGCAGAAACCACATTACTAGGGCACCTGAGTGGCTCGGTCGGTTAAGCATCCGACTCCTGATTTCAGCTCAGGTCATGATCTCACGGTTTCCGGGTTCGAGCCCCATGTTGGTGCTCTGTGGAGCCTGCTTGGGATTCTTCCCCCCCTCTTTGTCTGCCCCTCCTTTTCTTTCACACTCTCTCTCAAAAAATAAAATAAACGTTAAAAAAAAAAAAAAGAAACTGTATTCCTAGTAAACCCTAAACTATGTCTTCACTTTAGAGATGAAATTTGTTGATTGACACAAAACTATTATTTTTTGTGGGTCGGTATTTGAAAAATGTGGGAGGTGGAGAGCATATTTACTTACTCACATTACTAATGTTGATACACAACTAAAATGCAATCCCACCCTGCTCTTGAGATCTGAACCCCTCAAAAAGAACCTAATTGAGGGGGGAAAATACTGTTAAAGCCTCAACAAGTAAACATGGAATTCAGTTATAAAACTGCCAGAGAGTAAATGTAGGTGAGCAGGATATACTGGGTTTTTGAATCCAGAAGTCACCTACCTTTTGGCCATTGTCAGTATCAGGCAAAGGGGTAACCTATTTCTAACAGAATCTAACACACGCTCACCAAGGTGGTGGGGGAGAAAGCCTTCCAACAAAGTAGCAGAGTAACGCAATGCTTCCTAGAAGCAGCTGTATCCGACCTCGGCAGTCAGAACTACATAAATCCAGGCAAATAGGCAGATCGGAGCGGTGTATTTCCTCTCACAGAAGATTATTTCAAATGGTGACATAAACACTGTTGCAATCGGTTACAGCCAAGGTTTGGCTTTTCTCTTTAAACGGATCCTGCACGTTTTTAAACCTGAGAGTTTAAATTGAACACCCTGACATCAGAGAGCTTGACCACGTATTTCATTTGATGCTGCTTTCCCTCCAGATAATGGAGTAAGGAGGGAAGCCAGCCCGTGCCTGGGGAATCCTGTGCACGGAAGACGGCTTGCAGCCCGGCCAAGCAGCCCTGCGGGCACAGGCCAGCCCACGAAGGGCAGCACAGATTCCAGCCACAAGTGGACTGCTTAAACCTTTGCTGATCACCGGCACTAATAAGCATCGTTTTGCAAATGTACTTGGCAACTGAGATGCAAAATAATCCTATGATGCATAACTCGGGGTGACATTTAAAACGCGCATCAGGGGCATTTACACATACCTCTTGATCATCTCTTTCAAGCCCTCGGTGGATGTGTTTTCAGGTCGTTTACATACTGGAAAGTAGAGGTTCAGAAAAGATAAGGCAACTGTACTACCTGAACTTGTACCAGGTGGGACCAGAGGTGGCCCCACCCAAGGATACTTCTGCCCTTGGCCAAAACCCAGCGTACCCCTGTGTCTCCGACAGGGAGGAGTTTTACCACCTGAGAAGACTTTCACTTCTTGGAGATGCCAGGTTTTCAGTAGCAGGAAGTAAATTTTTTTCTTTTTTTTTTTTTTTTTTTTTTTTCTGACAACTAAACCACCAGTGTAAACTGGGAGGGGAGCTCCAACAGCTTAGCCAGAGATCGGTGGTTGTCTACCCTGAAAGATTTGCTTAAATACCTCTTGCCCCAAACATAACTTTACCTCATCTCAAATCTCTTCAACAATGCTTGTCCCCAACCCCCTAAACACGTTTTCCTCCCTGCAGTGGGGGGAAGGCCACTGTTGAACCCCAGCACAGGAGACTACAAATGCGGGATTCTATCAACAAGATGAACAGTGTATCTGAGGGCAGGTCAGAATCACAAAGTGTTGAAAGGGTGAAAGGCAGAATGTTACCGTTTGCCTATTTCTTGTCCTTTTAGAAGTCACAGGGGCACCTTGGGTATGCAGTTGGTTGAGTCTCACTTCAGCTGTAGGTCACGACCCTCTGAGTTGCAGCCCCCGTTGGCTGGTTTCTGATGGCTGATGGCTCAGGAGCCTGAGCCTGCTTCCCATTCTGTGTCTCCCCTCTCTCTCTGACCCTCCCCTCCTGGCTCATGCTCTGTCTCTCTCTGTCCTGGAAAAAATAAATAAACGTTGAAAAAAAAAAATTAAAAAAAAAAAGAAGTCATTAGGATTGAGGTCCTGATGAAAACAGGATCTGATAACAGATCCAAAGAATATCTTCTCATGTGTCCATCCTTAATAAAGAAGAATAAAAAATGTCAAGTATGGGTGAAAGCCTTCACGTCATCAAGGGTAAAATACAGCGCTGATATGCGGGCAAACATGAAATTACCTGAGTCATTTCAAGGGGTCAGCACAGCTCATCAATGACTTCTGTCCTAAGCAGCTCAAAATCATGACTGTCAGCAGTCAATTTGAAAAGTGGGTTTGAGGGGCTCCCAGGTGGCTCAGTCAGTTGAGTGTCCAACTTCCGCTCAGGTCATGTTCTCGCGGTTCATGAGTTCGGCTCGGGCTCTGTGCTGACAGCTCAGAGCCTGGAGCCTGCTTTGGATTCTATGTCTCCCTCTCTCTCTGCCCCACCCCTGCTCATGTTCTGTCTCTCTCTCAAAAATGAATAAACATTAAATTTTTTTTTAAGTGGGTTTGATAGAGGACATTTATTGGTTGATTTATAAGGCAGATTTTTTTTTTCTGGTTCTCTTTTCCAGGCTGACTGGCATGAACCTTCCTTCTCCCGTTATAAGCAGCAAGAACTGGTTACGACTGCATTTTACATCTGACAGCAACCATCGGCGCAAAGGATTCAATGCACAATTTCAAGGTAAGAATGCCCCATTTGATATACAGAAAATAACGGAAGGTATTTTGGCGTTTTCACCCTCAAGTTTCAGGATTCCCTTGCCAGAGATGGAACTAGAGATATAAGCTTGAAAATACCTTCTAGAACTTTCGTAAACAATTGACTTTGGAAATTCTACAAAGGGTACTAGCAACTTACTAGTAAAGCTTTCTTGCTTTGACCGCATGCAATGTATTTTATTGTTTTCCTTGAATTATTACTATGTTTTAATCAGTAAGTCAATAAATATATATTAGCATTTATTTTAATTCATATTTACCTAACCGGAAAATATCCACAGTTGCCCTGTTGTTTTCTTTATCCGCTCCTTAAAAATGGTACAGCATATAGGCCACGTGAATATGCAAATGCAACATCATACCCTTTCAGCTGTAAAATATATTCACAGTACCTAAACCCAGCTACCCGCTTTAATAATTTACATGTACGTGAACATCAAAAGGAAAAATGTGAGATTTTTTTGCAGCTGACTGAAACAAAGTCTGTAGTCACCAGTATGTAGGTTTGAAACTTCCTCTTGGTATGGAACTTCTAGTGTTTATACCTGGATAATATAGTGTCCTTGCCCATGTGTTTTTAATAGTCAATAATCCTTATCGATACCATAAAAAGGATCCAACTTATTAGGAGAACCATTGAAAACAATTCCATTTTGCATTTGCAAATAACAATCAAATGAACCTGTCAGAAAGCAGGACGCCCTCCCAAGCAAACTTCTCATGCTTCCCCCAAATCATGACCATGAGCACATCAGTTAAGGCCGCATTCCCTAAACACTAGCCACATGCAAGCCAGGATGCCAAACGAGGAGATTCTAATAAGCCCCCACGCTCCTGATCTAGTAGGTCAGAGAGACAGTTTGCAGACAGCTCCCATGAAAGGCAGAATGAAAAGCGAAATCATGCCAGCCACTCCAGGAGAATTTAGTAACGTTCCAACAAATGGTCTGGACGTGTCCTATCTAAAAGCCACTTTAAAATCCGTACTGCCTTCATTGTGTCCTTTTGGACAAGAGGTAGAAAACAAAGAGTAATTTTCAGGGGCTTGAATACAGATAGTGCTGGGGAGCACACATGGAGGAGGAGTGCTGGTTTTATTTGCCACCGGGGTCCCCGGGGCAGGGGGACCTTCGAGGAATTGCCAGACTTCAAATGCAGGGCCAATTGTGTTTTACCAAAATGTATTCGTCTATCATCAGGAGCCTTGCCCATCTCACATCGTCTTCTGATGCTGCCAGAGTTCTTACCTTTATCTTCTTTGACTGCAAATATACGGTTTTATAGGAGTCATTACACTTGGCTTCTTTTCCTGAGATCAGGCAAGGCTGATCTCCTTTTTTAGAGATCTCTATTTGCCTTTAGCTTTTAAGGCCACATACCATGCCTGTAGTCATAACAGGGGGCATACATAACATATGACACATATATATGTTGTACAGTCTGCATCTGGAGCCCTTTCTTGTCCAGCAAGAAAGCAGGACACGGGATTAAAAATGCGAGAGGAGACAAGAGCCCGGGTAAGGGTCTTTGCTCCGTTTTTATTAGGGTCAGGAGGCTTACAAACATGGTGATGGACGTGCACAAAGAGACAATAAATCTGTGAACACTAACTCAGGGGCCTGAGGGCAAGATGTGCGGGGTTAGGGGTTTGGGTTACTACAAAGCAAAATCCTGGCCCTGGGCTGGAGGTTGTTTACAGCAGACGTGAGGCCCCACCTCCTTTACAGAAACAGGCCTAGGGGACAAGGAAGACAGAGCAGGCCACCTCAGGGTCAACAAGGCACCTTTCTTCTGCTAATTAGCTCCCCTCAGGGCAACTTTGCCTGCAGAGGTCTACAGCCCTATTTACCTGTTTACCTCCTTGGATCCTTCCTTCCTGTGAAAGCAGCTTCCTGCTCTTGTACTAAGTTGGAGGGATGTTACCCGCCCTGAATACCTAATCTTGTTTACCTCATCTTGGAGGTTTTCATCCTGAGATTCCCTATCCTTATACCTTTGTCCTATACTGGGACCTTTGCCCTGTTTACCTATTCTGGGACCTTTGCCTGGGAAGTTCCATCTGAGTTTTGTCTATATCCACCCATATCCACAGAGATATATAGCCCCGACTCAGAAAAATCCTAAATCAATATTCAGAAGGCAAACTGACTGACCAATAGGTAGGTAGGTTGATCAATAGGGTCGTTCTATAACTACTGATTGATCTTCTCAAAAGGTCCTGATCCTGATTAACAGATTGGCATTGAACCACAGAAGAAATTTCTAGGTATCGTTCCTCAAACCGGATCAGTGAATTTGGCATCTATACCAGTGATTGGAAGAAAGGCAAAAAATAGAATACCAAATTCGAAGAGGGTCCAAATTGGTAGATATAAGTAACATTCTGGTTGACGGAAAATTGTAATAGCTTAGACATATCAGCCATTGATAAATAAATAAATATGAATCAACTGTATATAACTATATATAACCATATAACTATTTATATAATTAGCTAACCATACATACATATATTATTTAATATATGTAAATATAGTTATATATAACCAATATACATATGGTTAAAATTATACACACACACACACACACGGAGTGATGAATAGAAAATTTGCACATAGTGCAAAAATATAAAAAGATGCAGAACTATAAAAAGGAATGAACATGAACATGGCTTAACAGTAATATATTCGAAAACCTCTCCAGGCGGACTTTGAAGTTCAACTCCAAGACAAACTGATTTCAGGGAGCTGCCAAATGTTTACTCTCATTAGCACACAGACCCTTATCTCAAAGGAGGAGTCATGCCTAAGACCACATCGAAGCAGACAATATGTGGAAGATAGGGGTCAGTACCAGATGTTACCCTTTTGAGAAGGAAACCAACCAAATGGGCAGCATCCAGGATGATGTCAAGAAACCTTCAAGAGAGGACACAAGGACCACTGGCTTAAGGAATGTGGTAAATGTTATACAGGAAAGTATTGCATTCATTTTTGCTGGTCCAGAGGGAAGAAATATCACTAATTAATGGAAGCGGAAGCTACAGATAGTCCTTTCTGCTGATTCTAGAACATGCCTATGGGCCCCAGAAGGCAAGAGATGGCTCAGTAGCTCAGGATGAGACGAGTCTCCTCTCAAAGTCCCCCCCCC